TTTTAATTAATTATGTTCTGTAATTTAGTACGGACTTGGGCATCACAATGGCAGTTCTCATGGTCTATCAAGAATAATACGTTATGCTCATACCAATACCGAATATGTACCGCTTGTCAGTGAAAGTTACCGTCAGATCGAACAAATGGAGGCAGAAATAGGTGAAAAACTCTGGAGGTGAGTGCAATATTTTCCCCTTGGATAGCTCTTTTTCGAGCTTTGTAAGAGATGTCAAAACAATGAATAGTTCAGCGGAGTAAGCCATGTAATCGGATTCCATTTCCAATCGCGTGGGAAGATGGGATGTTCGGGTGCTATTACAAAATGTTGGGAGGCTAAGCAACAGCATACTCCGGTCTACAGAATTAATTTCTATAAGAGGCCAAAGCAGACTTATTTATCGTCATTTGTGTTACTACTTATTTTTGAGTGTTACGCCATTCCATGAGACATTGAGTGTTACGCCATTCCATGAGACATTTAGGTAACTGGGAAGGACATGGGTCATCTATAATCTCCCTGGTAACGTTTCTGCGTTATTGTGGAGCACCCTCGCAAAAGGAAAATTGGCTTCATATCCCGTTACTTATGGGAGTAGGTCTCCTCCTCTTACGTGTGCTTTGCCCACAATGCCCTACGGTGTACCTGAACCAAACTTGTTCCGTCTTCTCCATGTGAAATGTATGATTAAGTAGCGCGTCAGTGGTGTTACCTACATACCATTGGTAGCAAATCTCGGAGGTCATTCAAAATAACATATAAGGATTAATAAGATGCTTTTTTTTGCTAATTTTAAGGAAGACGGGACTTTTGTGGATAAGCTCTTCCTCGACAGTAGCATCGTTGTCTGAAATACTCCGAAGTCACAATATCGACCATGAAACGATCAGTGGAACTCAGGTGATTGACTCAGTGAACTCAGTGATTTATCTGCGGATAGATTAGTTCTGGTGCTAAGCAACTCCTGATGAGCCTTAACGATAACTCATAGATCGTTGGTATTTCCTCTCAAATATTTGGGACCTCTGATCCGAGTTTTCGTGCTTATTTAAAGATCGCTGATCGATATCCTCAATTCTCTTTCGACAATCATTGGTCAGGGCTTGTCGATCCAATGGGAGGTGTGATCTACGCCAATAAATGGCTGCATACATTTCAGGTAAATAAACTTTCCGTTTATTTACTCATCGCTAATCTTTCAAGAAACTATCGAGGCAACATAGTTCGGAACGCGCCTTGCACCAGAATATTATAGGCTTCAAACTCACATCAGTCATAAGCTACCACTAAGGCCAACTACAGTAATCCATTTAAAACTTCCCTAAAATTATAACAATATCTAACGAGGTGGTGGATAAAAGAAATTAATTGGGACTTGATACTGTCGTGCAGACCCTGCCATTGTCTTGAGCTTACTCGAAAAAAAA